GTCCCATACTTGAACGAAACGGCCTTCCAGTGCTTCCAGGTTTTCCGTGGCGGTCTAGCATCAATTGACTCATGATTTCAACTATTGAAATTACTAAAATCTCCACAACACCCTTTCTGAAAATATTTTTTATTTGATAAATTAATTGGTTACAAAAAATTGTTCACATAGTTACTAAATAACTTATGTTCATGAATTTATTAGGGTTTGTGTTATCTTGATGTTAGTATTTGTGATTGAATTTTGATTAGTAACTGTCAGAATTTGTATCTCTGGGGTCGATATTTTGAACTACCTTTTTGAGCCCTCCCCGCCATAAGTGCCCTGGTACTATCAGGGATGGGGAGAATTCACTCTCCCCTTCGAAATCCTCTCATATGGTCACGAGTGTTTAGCCACTGTCAAGAAGTCCTACTCGCTGCCTTTCGTGGATACATTGAGCAGACGAAAAGCTAGTATCCAGTGCTTTAACCAGGTTAATGGATATAGAGGATCCATCTAGGAGAGTTGAAAAACCCTGATTCCAAACCGACATCATATATCTTATTTAGAATATTTGATCTTTGTAGGAAATTTGAAAACTCGGTTCTAAGTGCTAAGCTTTATAATATAGATAGGTCGTCCTAAATGGTGATGGTTTTTCACCGAATGAGGTGCATGTCAAAGCTGACAATCTATTTCACAACGGAAAAGATTGACAGACTTGGAGTAACGAGCGGAGTTGATTTCATTGTCTTAGTGAAGATGATTTGAGGTATGAGTTGTAAATTGTTAGGTGTTTTGACTCATGAACGTCGTTGGGTGTTTCTCATGATTTCACTGATAACATGTTTTATTAAAAAAGATTAGTTCAGCGACGAATATGGATACATTCACGGATATGCTGCATTTGATGAGTGGACCACCTCTGACTGACGTTTTGAATAGGTTTCTACTTAAGATGACACATCCCATTCATAGATCAATCCCGTAGAAGTGTATATTTAACACTGTAGAAACAAATGATATCGTATATGATTTGTGGTAGGGAAATTAAAATGTGATTGATCACTGAGAATGGACAAGCAGGCACTTAACCTACCGACTACTAAATATGTGATTTCTTTCCCTCTCATTGATTTCTACTCTGAACTCACTGAGTGTAACGGTTCGTGACTGTGTTGAATAAAGTATTGTCTAATGTTAATCTGGTTCTTTATTCTGAATAGTGAATCTTGGATTTGATATAACATGACAAGTCTCATTATTGTATTAAAATATCATCGTACTGTATCTGAGAAAGGAAAGTAGTTTAGACCATCTGTTATATCAGTATGATTTCGGGAAGATTAGGTATAATTCTATGTATCCATTACATAGAAAAACAGTGGCAGAGTAGTTTTCGCTGGTTACAACAATCGTTGTTATGCTATAGATCAGGACTTCTTTAGCGATAACATTCAGTGATAGTTACATTCTATTACGAATGAATCGGAATTGGAAATGCGGGTTATTTGATACTGACAATTTGTTTGACAAGAAATATGACTTTCCTTGATAGGGGTGTAATTATGTGCTACTAATAAAGAGCCAAAGTTAAGATGAAATATTTGCTCAATATTACTTAGTTGACATAGGCTGATGACATTGTAGAGTGGTGTCGAGTCGAGATTAACTATGAACACCGCTACAGAGAAACACGTGCCAAGTTAATCAGAAGGCGAAGGTTGGACGTAACCAAATAAGTCCATAAAATCCCCGAGAAGCCAAATATCAGAAGGCAATTAATGGACCAAATCGAGATATATTCGCTGGCGATCTCGTGGCATCGCAAGGTTACCGAGATCGTGCCAGAATACAAGCTTGGTTACAGAACGTAACCGAATTCGCGCGAAGTCACAATCAAAGTGTAAGAATAAGAATGGAGGCACAATATAGCTGTCATTAGCACAGTCAAACAAAAGCACATTAAAACAAACACTAGTACAGTTGGTTATAATAATAATTGTTTTTATTAAACCAGTCGTGTTCTCGTGATAAATGTGAGTCACTACAACATACAGACTTTCACGATCATTGAATTAATCTTTACAATATTTCATAATTTCGATAAGAAAACATAACACTATAGGAGATTCTTGGGGAATATTGGATCATGTCATACATCGATCTTAGTTGGACAGCTATTGAAAACTAGGAAGAATTTGATAGGTGCTTTGTCCCAGTATGAGAGTTCTCAACAGTGCACATCTACGACCTTACAGAGGATTAAACCGAGAACGTTCGATCTCGCGCTCAAGTGCTTAACCTGCTCACAGGTCTAGAAGTTAAGCACTCCAGTGCAAGATTGAAGGTTCTGAGTTCAATCCTCTGTAGGGTCGTAAATATACTTTGCTGAAGACTCCCACACTGGGACGAAACACCTATCCAATGCTTCTTAGTTTTCAATAGTTGTCTTACTAAAGTTAATATTTGATGTAATCGACAAAAAAATCACATTGATACATTTTCATTTTTAGTGTCCTTTATATTTCTATTCATCGTTATGAGAAAGCAACATTTTGGCCAAATTTACGTGAAGCAAATTATGATTTTATTGGTGAAAACTTAGGCAAAGGTTATAATGTTAATATTCCATTAGAAGAGGTAATTTCAAGTTTTATGCTTTAAATATTTGAACTTAGTTTATCCATGATACTTTCAATGTTCATAATCAGCACTTACTCTTCATTCAGTGATTCATTTGGAGACTCTTGGTGATCTGGATCAGAATCGATCACAATAGCGTCGATGTATGCACTCTCTGTCTTCCCTCAAACTAAGAGATTAAAATGACTTCATATCTTTCTTTCTACGAACTAATTCTTTCTTCCTATACTATGTCCTTATATGCAATCCTTCTTTTATATATTACCACCTCTGAATTAACTACTTTTATGAATCCGGTGTCCATCTTGTTGTGTTAATGAGGTATGGCAACTTGGATCGATGCATATATATGCTCAGTCCTACGTTGTAACTGACTGACTGACTGACTGACTGACAGTGGTTCAATTGTGTATATTGGAATTTCCTTTTTTACTAGAGATTAGGTTTCGAACTCTCACTTCTTATCAAGGATGTCAAACTACATTATACCGATATGTTCACAGAAGTTGGTTACAAATAACTTTAGACGATTGAAATGAAAACTTTTGAATAAGATCACATTTCATTCATACACTAAATATGAACGAACAATAACCGAAAGTCATTACTGACCCTACTAAGTCTACTAACTGTGATATTCGATTCAACATTTTCAGTCTGGTTGGCGTTTTATTTAGCCAGACTTTTTTTCTACGGGATGAAGTTGACGACTTTATGCCCGACCCTCCTCCTTTATCCAGGCTTGGGACCGACAGTAACTCTAGAGAAGAGTTACAGGTGAAGTTACCATTTTTGATAATCATACAAAATTCACATATTCTCAATTCATCAATCAGGATACTAGAGAAGAAGAGAATTTGCAAGAAATCTTCGGTCTTAAGAAAAGTTAATTAAATAAGTAAATACTACAGATCATTAAGTCATTTACTTATCAGTCAGTCTGTCATTCAAAAGCAACATAGTTACCGGTGTACATATGAACTGGTTTACATTTCCACATCGCATTATCATTACGACATACGCCGCAGTAGCAGAAGTAGTAAGTATCAGTCTTACTTCTTACTTACACCTATAACTCCTCGTGAAGAAGCATAGGCCGCTCACCAGCACTGTCCGTCCAACCCTGTCCTGGGCAATCCCTTCCAGCTCCTTCCAGTTGTTATTCATCCTTTTCATACCTGCTTCTATTTCTTTGGCCTTCCTCTTTTCGCTTCCCTTCAGGATTCCAAATCAGGGCTTGCCTTGTGATGTAGTTTGATGATTTGCGTAATGTATGTCCTATCCATTTCCATCGTCTTTTTCTAATTTCCTCTTCAGCTGGAAGCTGGTTTGTTCTCTCCCACAGAAGACTGTCGCTGATGGTATCTGGCCAATGGATGTTGAGTATCTTGCGTAGACAACTATTTATAGATACTTGTACCTTCTTGATGGTGGTTGTTGTGGTTATCCAAGTTTAAGCTCCGTACAGTAGAACTGCCTTGACGTTCGTATTGAAGATTCTCACTTCTATAGTTACTGCCGGTCCCAAGCCCGGGTAAAGGAAGAGGGTTGGGCATAGGGTTAGCGTCCCCATCCCGTAGAAAACTAACTCGCTAAAAAAACGCTAACCACAAAAAATAATTCAAACCATTTAGATAGGAACTCACTGAAGAAAACGGTGTACGGTGGCGCAACTTCGTGGATTGGTTGAAGTTAGACATTAACACCGTTGGGTGCCGGCTCAGTGGTCTAGTTGGTTAAGCGCCTGGCACGAGGCTGATAGGTCCTGGGTTCGGATCTCGAGGGGTGCGAGATCGTGGATGCACACTGCTGAGGAGTCCCGTACTAGGACGAAACGGCCGTCCAGTGCTCCCAGGCTTTCCATGGTGGTCTAGCTTCAATTGACTCATGATTTCAACCAGTGAAATGACATTTAGTAGGTGTAAGTGATATTAAAAAAGATCTAAGTAGAAAAAAGAATTTATAGAATAAACGGTATAAGATAACTTTAAACGTTAAGATTTAAAGGAAGATCAGAAGTGAATAGTTAGGTACCAGTACGACCGATTCTAGGTCATGCTACCCAACATCTCTAGACATTGGTTACAATGAGCACGAGGATTGTAACCACCTCGTCTGTACTTATCATCACAGATCATTTCAACAAACATAGATTAATGTCAAGTTTTAGTTAAGACAGTCCTAGCTTTCTTGAAAACTACTTTCATAGTAGAAAATATCTCGCGTTTAGTCAGGAAAAAGATTGAGTGCGTATAATGCAGATCCTAAACACCTCAGTTAATGAAGTTACACTATCTCATCAGCAGATTCTCCATCTTTACCTATAACCTAGCACTGGACGGCCGTTTCGTCCTAGTATGGGACTCCTCGGCAGTGCGCATCCACGATCCCGCACTCCGCGGAATTTTTTTATAATGGAAGGAAGTTCTCGATATTATCTCCATTTATACCATCAAAGAAGAATAAAATCAATATCAGCAAGGGTAATTTGCTAATCTTCAATTTTATTTATTTAATTAAGCCTTACAGTTGTAGCTTGTAGTAAAACTTGGATCGATTTTTACAAACCTACTTGATCAATAGAACAGTACTCAATAAAAAAAGAAAGAAACTGGAGTGATATAATGTCATAAATTGTAAGTAAGTAAGTTGCGTAATAGTTCAATGACTAGTGAAAATGGTCCATTTGATAAGCAAAGATGGATAGTGGTTAATAGTGGAATCGAGTTTGATGCGCATTTCGTACTATTTAGGACTGATCAACTGGATGTACTTACATTTCAGAATTGATATTCATTCCGGAACTCGAATCCAGTACCATTCGCTCCAAACATCATCGTATGATCAAGTTAGCTGCTGAGTTATGATAGCCAATTGCTTGTGTAATGGGATAAAGTTTTTAATTCATTCATAGGACAAAACACATATCGTGGATTCCACTACTAACCATTATCTATCTCTGCTTATACTGAATATTTTACACATAGTATAGCGTCAAGTACAAAAACACAAACGGAAATGATAGATTCAGTGGTTTTTGGATTAGTCATATTGGGATTAGATGGTGGTTGGAGGTAGTCGACAGGAAACACTGGACCCGGGTTTCGTGCTACTTGGCACTCGTCACCAAGATGTGCCTGTAATCGTGAGGGAACTGGTGTTCCCTGGCGGATTTGATCCCGTGTCACAGTCAGAGACGTTACCACTGAGCTATTCGGGCCGCGACTGACCTCCTGTAGGACTGAGATGTAATCACAATTGACTGATCACTGGGTGGTGATCAATTTCATGCGTGTCAAGTCCTTAGTTAGTACAGATCGAATGCTATCGATCATGGCCGGGTCAGCCAGGGAGCACCAGTTCCCTCAATATTACAGCTACACCTTGCTGATGAGTTCCAAATAACACGAAACCCGGGTCCAGGGTTTCCTGTTAACTACCTCCAACCACCATTTAATCTCAATATATAGTGCACGCAGTGTCGAGTCACCTAGACTGGTGGCCACATTGCAACATGGTCGATAGCATTGGATCTGCACTAAACAAGGACTTGACACGCATGACATTGATCACCACCCACTGATCAATCAATTGTGATTAGTCATATATATATGCCAACCAATAAAATCAATTGAACACAGTGAAATACCGTGAATTACAAGATATAAGAAATCTATAGATTATATGGTGCAATTATTCATCAGTGCTCATCAAGAACTCCATTTGTAAATATATATACAGTTAGTTTTCGGATTGTTTACATGTTTTAGATTGTTTATTACACTCATGATGAGTATATTAATCTGTATTTTGCTTAATCATTATCTTTACAGACAGGTATGACGGACTCCGACTATCTCGCTATATTTTACCGTCTGATTATGCCTATCGCTACAGAGGTAAATGATCAACAATATGAGTATTATTTTTGGTAAATTTTAATGTGAATAAGTGTGTGTGTGTGTGTAAGCTTAAATAATTGTGAAGGCGTAGTTGGAGATCTGGTTAGCGCGGATCGGCAAAGCAAGAACAGCATATTTACAACTGAACAACATCTGGAACTGAAAACAATTGTCAATCAACACCAAAGTCAGAATTTTCAATGTAAATATCAAGAGAGTTCTGCTGTATGGGGCGGAAACCTGAAGAACTACGAAAGTCATCATCCAGAAGATACAGGTGTTTATTAACAGTTGTCTACACAAAATACTTCGGATCCGTTGGCCGGACACTATTAGCAACAACCAACTGTGGGAAAGAACAAACCAGATCCCAATGGAGGAAGAAATTAGGAAGAGGTGCTGGAAGTGGATAGGACACACATTGAGGAAAGCACCCAACTGCGTCACAAGACAAGCCCTCACATGGAATCCTGAAGGTCAAAGGAAAAGAGGAAGACCAAAGAACACATTACGCCGGGAAATGGAGATAGACATGAGAAGAATGAACAATAATTGGATAGAAGTAGGAAGGAGGGCCGAGGATAGAGTGGGTTTGAGAATGCTGGTCTATGGCTTATGCTTCAGTGGGAGTAACAGGCGTAAGTGAGCAAGTAATTAAGTTGGAGATCTAGTTGCATTGTGTCCACTTGTCTAAGTCATTATTTTCGGATATCAAGTAGGTTGAGGCAATAAACAGACAATTTAGGTATCGGTTTTTTTTGTTAGATGTCGTTCATCTACAAAGAACTATCTGGAATTTTGAAAGGATTGATGATATTCAGGCAGAAAACAGAACCTACGTGATTCATTGCAACAGAGCTATTTTGGCCCATATTAACAGACTATCTCCAACCAGATAATGCAAAGCATAGTTCATGCAATGTAAAACCACTTATACTACTGATAACATTCCATTTTGAAGGCATAATTCTATAAGCATCAAAAACTAAACAAATATGGCTAATCAATGTTGACGTCTCAGACTTATACCTGGTTAGTTATAGCCCTAAATATCTTCGTTTTACCGTCACAACTTTGTGACAAGACAAGAAACCCACTAAGGGAATAACTTTACAATTAATTCTTACTAGAAACTGTAAAACAAACTGAAATGTAGATCAAGACTTTTCTATCAATTTACTTCAACCACCTAGCATAATAATTAAGAACTTTCGTTTAAATCTCATCAAATAGTTTCACAGTATTTGAGCACTGAGTTGATATGAGACCTTAAAGAAGAAGAATGTTGTATTTGTGAAAATCTCAGCGAATGAATTTGAAGTAAATCCAACATTTCGCCTGACAACCTAGTCCAAACTAATTTCAAGGAAAAGTTATTTCTTTGATAAAGCTTAGATCAGCTTGCCAGGCGAAATATTGGATTTACTTCAAATTCTTTCACCAAGCAGAGTTTCCAATTTTTTCGACTGAAATTGACTGATATTTTATGACACTGGCTTCAAAAAATACAAAAATATTTCAAACCTCATACGATCATTCAAAAGATGAACTGAATTAGAGATAATTTATGTGTGCCTAATTTCAAAATAGTTGCTTGGTTTACTTTTACAGCATTATCCCCGTGAAATATTTATCATAAACATTGATGCTACTTTAAATATAATAAGTAGCTCAAGTTGTATGGAAAAAATAAATGAGAGTTAGGATGGTGGTTGGAGGTAGTTAACAGGAAACCCTGAACTGACATTTGTCAGAAAGGTGTATCTTAAAGGAACTGAAGCTCCCTGAGGGATTCGATCTCGTATCACTCAGCTTCACAGTGCGTGCACATAATGTCGAGTGACCTAGACTAGTGGCCACATTGCAACTTGGTCGATATAATTCGATCTCCACTAAGACGAACCTAACACACATGACATTGATCACTACCCAGTGATCAATCAATTGTAAATAAATGACAGTCAATATTTTCTCACAGTTGATTAGATTCTTGTATGTCTAATGAAAAATAGAGTAATTTTCGTTTTTTTTTTTAATTTTAAAAATTACAGTTTAATCCTCAGCTGATACTGATTTCTTGTGGGTTCGACGCAGCTATTGGTTGTCCAGAGGTAAGTGCTAAATTAATGAATAACACATTGAGTTACAATGCTAAAATGTTTGTTTCTACTTTTCTCTTAGTTACTGACTAACTATGTGTTAAAAACTCCGCCTGTAGCTCTTCTAGAGTTACTGCCGGTCCCAAGCCCGTGTAAAGGAGGAGGGTTGGGCATGGGGTTAGCGTCCCCATCCCGTAGAAAACTAACTCGCTAAAAATACGCTTATCATGTGTTAAAATCAAAATAGTGTTCACTCAGTTTCCAAAATAAGACATCCAGATCTTACGGTTTACATTAAGATCATTAAGTTAAAATCCAATGATTCTTATTTCTAACTTTAGTTGATATTCATCATAGCGTAAAAATATCATTGGTGTATAATTACTTAGTTCCTGGAATAAACCAAACCCATCAGGATCAATTTTAATTAGTTCTAACCTAATCCAAGTAACGACATTGGCTCATCCATCTGAGAAATCCAAGCCTAAACAAAATTTACTGTAAAAACTTAATTATGGAGAATATTATATGTGAAAACTGAATTCTATCTAAGGTTAACTAAATTACAAACGGAGGGTTTATCTCATCGGCTCTTCATTTTGACGAGGTAAGGTCAAGTGAATGACCACACTAGGATTCTGTTTGCGTGTAACGGAGACACAGCATACATCAATCGTATGAAATTCTGGGGTTTTAGCTAAGGAGGTCTGCTGGCTGACTTGACATAGGGTGCGCAGGTCGAAGGAGTGAGGTTTCAGTAGACCTCGGACAGTGTTTAGCGCACTACAATTGTTGGCCATGGTGACACTTGAGGCGAAAGTCAAAATAGGAAGTTTAGAGCTGAAAGTCGAGGTAGGAGTAATGATAAGAATCGAAGACGCAGATTGATGATAAATCCAGTGATCTTGAGTTCTGTTAGAGGTATGAGGACATTTATCACTACCAGGTTGCCCACACCGTGAAGGTACATGCAAAGGAAATTGGGTTAAAGTTAGACTAAGTGACCTCAGAGCGTTAGGGCAGTGCCCCAAAAATAACTGCTTGAGGTCGGTCACACACGAAATATTACGAATAATTTTCGTGTCAGCAACGTACACATTAGGACCTTACACTTGATCACTAAATCCCACTTTTCAATCCTACTGACTGTTCCGTTTACGGTAACCGACTTTTGTAAGTCTTACTAATCTAAGTTGGTTGTTGGCTGTGGAAATGTTTTCGCGGGTATACATAGCTTAGACTAATTTGTGCGACAGAGACACAGTCGAAACAACCATCAACCTGTTAAAGATTTTACCACCCAGCTAAAACTTAAAGGCTTGCCTTATGATAGTAAATGCCATGCAAAGATTAAAAATATACATATAATCACAGGTGTCGCCACTAAAAATGCTTGGAAATGGCGTGAGCACAGATAGAGTAAGTGATACTGAAATTAGAGTCAGGAGTTTGTGTAGAAATGGTTGTTGGATCAATGAGACTACAAGCCGTGTGTGTTTACTGATGTAGTTTGAACGTATGTTACAGATAATTACTCATTACACGCTCCTATGTACAATTCTGACAGTTGCAAGTGTAGTTTACATCAGCAGCAATAACAACAACAACAACAACAAAACAAGCGTAGTCATATGATTGATTGAAACGACAGTTGCATGGTTGACGCGTTTAATATTTTGAAAAATTTTCTGGTTAGCGTTTTTTTAGTGAGTTAGTTTTCTACTGGATGGGATCGCTAACCCCATGCCCGACCCTCCTCCTTTATCCGGGCATAGGACTGGCAGTGGCCTCAGAGGGGCTGCAGGTGGACTTTTTTGAGATATTTTCATTTGAGTAATTGTTATGAGTAAGAGTTGTGTGAATTGCGGCAAATTAGTGATTGAGGTAATGGTATTTGGAACGATTTAGTAGTATATATATAGTGAGTGGTGTGTGTGTGTGCGTCAACCACACGTAGATGGTCCAGTAGTGTGGGGACGCGATACCCACTTCTGGTGCTAAATGGTTGTGGGTTCGATTCCCAGCTGGAACATTATTATTCTCCTTACGTGACTGAATTTCGTTTGATCAACCTTCATTTCATAGGTATATGTTCATTCCTGTACAGATTGTCTAGATAAAACCAATCAAACTCATAACCATTGCATAAGTGAGTAAATATCAACTTGGCGATGTAAGTACATTCATCAGTTGATGAGTCAGTCACAAATGGCACGAAACACATGTCCTGCATTCCACTGCTATTCAGATTCCATCTACTCAGCAGTAACATTAAACCACTTCATACATTTATACTTCATGTGAAGCTTTTTGCTTTTTACGTTATTCAGTAGTATTAGGTGTATGGAAGCGTCCAAGTCACTTAATTGAGATATGCGCAAAATCAAAGTTGTTCACAAAACAACGATTTGTCTCTAAAATAGCCTTCGTCATCTTGTGAGGTGTCTACGGTGTTTAACGCGTCCATTTGTATGAAATGATGAAAAGGGCTTGGACAATGCAACTACACAGCTGATAGTTGTGTCTAAACTTGGTAACAGTCTACTAACTAGCAAAATCCCAAACAAGAGCAATTAATTGTAGAAAATGTTGCGTCTAAATCAAATAAATACACAAAACTGTAGATAACTGTTACAGGGATTGAGGTAAATTAATTATAATGATAAATAATATAATACAGTGTTATTATAAGTATATGTAAATATTTGAGAAAAGATTACACGACCAACTTACATTAGAACATCAATGTAAAAATTTCTAAGAATACAACAGTTTACTGAATGTTAATAAGTAGTATAAAACAATACACAAAAGAGTTGAGAGGAAGTGAATGTAAAGCATACTGAACAGGTATAATGGTACACGAAACCGATGGCCTTGAGCTATCAGTCCAAATCAAGCTAACAGATGCGCTAATTTGAAATGTTTTTACGGACAGCTTGTTGCTGAAACTTATGATTTCCATGATATTCCATATATTTCGAAGGAACTGCAATCGTCGAAAGATGACGGTTTTCCTATGTAATAGAACTATTAAGATGAATATGTTACTGGTTGGAGTGTTAACGTTGGGATAATCAGAGTGAGGAGTAAGGGTTTAGGAGTTTTATGGCTAGTATCTACAACTAAGTAGTTTTGTGGTTATGAGTTAAAGTTAGGAATTTTCAGGGTTAAGAGCTGGCTGGTGTCAAAAGGGTTTTAGTGTTGAGATGATGGGTCTAGGAGATTTTGGGTTTCCAAGCTTCCAGTTTTGGGGAAATTTTGAGGATTTCTATGGAAATTTTGGGATTTTCACCCAGTCATATAAAAATCCGTGGTTCTTTCTCCACAGAGTACGGGGAATATATCGGGAGAACCTGAAATTTCCCCAAAATATTTCTGAATATTACACGACAAACTTGTGTTGCTAGGACTACAATACTTTACTGAATGTTAATATGTAGTGTAAAACAATACACAAAAGAGTCGGAATGAAGCGAATTCGCGATAGTGAATGTAAAAGTGACTCTAACAAGTATTGTATGCTTCATTCTTTGAAAGTACTATCATTTGATCATTCACTGAATTCCTCAATAGTCTAACCCATCGAAATGCTATTACTTTAAGTGTTTTTGATGACTGTTGAAGTTGATATTTTAAATTCTACATTGTTCCTAATTAGACGATCTTTGAATTCCCTGAAGCCTTGGACAGTGGTAATTTGTAGTAGCCAATAGCTCACATTCCTTTTCAATGATGAAAGCTTTCGATTAAATTTAGTGGTACTACTATCTATTGGAATTCTAATTGATTCATTTCTTAGTTTTTCAAAGAATAAATAAGATGAAAATCATATTAAGAACTATGATATTTTGTTTGAATTTACTAATATTTAACATCACAATAATTTGTTAACCGTTTATAATGGTTCTGTGATGTGTGTTACCGATGTCTGCAGATCTAAGTAGCATACATCATCAATTGAAAGTGAAATGCTTGATTGGAGAAGATTAAGAAGATCAAAGAAAAGAGAACGACAGTGGAGAATGAATGATGTGGATACGAAAGTAAAATGAAGTCTGAAGCGATTGATTGAAATTTTACAAATTAAGTATTCACTATATGGTTCTCAGATTTTACTAAGTGATTCTGTATTGTTTAATTAAGAAACATTTGGTTTTCCCCACTTGAGTTGTCGTTCACTACAATGTTTTTTTTCAAGGAAATATATAGTGGAGAAATTTATCGAAATATTTGCACAGTTCAGAAAACAGGCGACCCAAAATGTTTGAATAGACGGTGGTATCGTTTCAACAAGCTACCGAATCCTTATTTGAAAGATTTAAAAACTCCTTAGTCTTGAGTTTTGGTATCATTATAGAGATTTGTAGCTCACTTGGATGATCTTAATGAAGTTTCATCCTCTAAGCTGGATGGTTTGGTCGTGGAGCATTCATCGTTCTTCTGAACGACATCATCAACACAAGCTTCAGGTAGACTTCTACTTGAAGTTCGTCCTATTTGGGTCTCGTCAGCTGTTCGTACCTGTATTTGAGTTGATGTCCCCCCTAGGACTCGAACTCAGTACGTTCGATTCAAACGCCATCATATTATCCATGTGTTAGCGACTGAGTCCTCATAGCCAACTGCTTGTGCAATGGAGTGAAGTTTAAATTCACTTGGTATTTTTATTTACTTGAATGTTCTCATTGTTGTTTACGACTGCATATGTGCATTCTGTGCGAACTGTCTCGATATAGCCTTAAGTCCAGCGTTATATCCAGCTGATGAGTCCTAAATAGGACTAAACACGCGTTCTGCAATTGATCAGCCTCATGTTGGCATATGTGCATTCTGTGCGGATTGCCTCGATAGAGCCTTAAGCCCAGCCTTACATCCGACTGACGAGTCCTAGATAGGACGAAACGTGCGTCCTGGATTCCACTGCTAACCACTATCTATCTTTGCTTAAAAGTAATCATAATTATTATAAACCGTTCTTTTTTTTCTTTTCTTTATTTAATTACAGGGTAGAATGTGGTTAACTCCAATGGTGTTTAGTCATTTTGTACACAAATTAAAATCTTTAGCTGGAGGCAAAGTTGTTGTCGTTCTTGAAGTACGTTATTGATATATTTTCTTTCTTTTTTTTCAAAATAATAAGTGAACACACAATGATTTGATTATGTTAATGATGTTTTGTTCTTTGAACTGCGTCAAAATCATCTATCGGAGCTATAAATCTTCTCCACCATTTCAATACTTGACTAGATTCTCTCGTGTCACTACTGACATTCATGAAGATTTATTTCTTACATCAGTAAACATTCAAATATCAATTAAGTTATTTATTAATTAAGTTGATTATTTTATAAGTAAATTAATTACTGATTGACATTGGCTCTTTAATGACTTCTTTGAACATATTATAGTGTGTACTACTGATATCGACAGATATAAGTAGTATGTATCATGAATCGATAGTGAAATACCTAATGGTAGAGAAGGTTAACAAGATCAAAGAGAAGAGAACGAGAATAAAGAATGATTGATGTGGAGATGAAAGAACAATGATGTCTGAGACGATTAATTGACATATTGCAAATGAAGTATTTACTGTATAGTTCTCAGATTTTACTAAGACCTGTAATTTTGTGCTCGAATACGTTCAGTTGTTCCCCGCTTGTGTTCTCGTCCACTACAACAGTATTAAATATTGTTACAAAGCACTGATTTTTAACTGTGTTTTAAATGTATATATGTTTCTAAGCCCTTTGTGTATATATAAGAGAATAAGTGATACCCCCTTCTGATTGTCGAAATAGAAGAAGTCAGATGTAGGACTCAAACCTAATCGCTAAGACACTATTGTTGATTACTAATTTCCACCAAGAAATATATTAATTTCTTGAAACACTTTAACTTCTACTGACGAATGTTTCAATCATAATCTAATAAAATCAGTCAATTTACGTTTAACACATAACCGATGTGCAGATGTCTTCTTCTGACCAAGTAGTTGATCTGTTGATCTCCAAGTTGGCCGTCTGCTGAATATTTCGGTCAGTTCAACAACGCTCTAAAGAACGTTTCCTGGTATTGGCAGTAGTATGATGTCTGTATAAATCTCACACTTACTGAAATTTCGTTCTTCGGTGTCTTGACGAGGTATCCTACTTTCCAGTCTGTCGGCATTTGTTCCCTCTCCCAAATGTTCCTGAATGGGATGTGAAGCGTGTCTATAGTTGCTTCTGTGTCTAACTTTAGTGCTTCAGTTGGTATGTTGTCTGGTCCTATCGCTTTCCCACCCTTGATCTGTTTGATGACCATGTTGATTTCTTCAATTATTGGTAAGGTAGCATCTATAGAAAAGCCTGTGTGTGCTGCTTCGATGTAAGGTTGGTTTAGTGGGATTGGTTTATTTAAGAGTCCTTCAAATACTTCTACTCACGTACTTATAGTTATCAACTCAAATGCTCATTTTCACTCGTTTGTTTACTTATATGTGTTCGGCCTACGCCTCGGGTTTCGCTGTTCCTGTTCTGCTATTGTTGATTGCTCTCTTCTTCCTCTCCTTTATTGAATCTTGCCCAGTGTATTGATAAAGATCTGTTCTTTATAATGGTGCTCCTTTCGGCTCAGCACCTCATTGTATTTCGAAATTGTTGCCTCTTCAATCCCTTTCCAGTTGTTCTTCATAGTACTTTCATCTTCTTTGAGTTGGTTGTGTAAGGATTGGAACCTGTTGCTGAGAACTATCTTGAATTCGTTGAGTTTGTCAATATTTCGAAGGTACACAGTATTAAACTCTTATGATGTCTTTTCTTCAGTTGTCCAGTGTTTCTTGAGCTTCAGTTTCCTCATGGCCACAACCTGGTAGTGACCTTAAACTAAGTCCGCTTCTCTCTTTGCTTATACATCTTCTAGGGACGTTCTGATCCTTTTAATGATGCAGATATTATCGGCTTGGTATTATGTAATGTGATCCAATGAAACTCATGTAGCTTTGTGTATGAGTTTGTGGAAGAATATGGTTGTTTGTTTATTAGGAATATATGTACCAGACATTTCGTTATCCAAACAAATATAGTTTGGCTTCATTTCAAATACTTAGACGCTATGTTTTGACTTTTTTTGGAGGGGAGGAGAAGATTTATCATAAGCGAACATAAATATCAGCCAATTCTTTCAGAAATGATTAAATGACGAACTAGTTATTTATAAAAGTTATTTATTGTGTTTGGTTGTTCATTTGATTATTTAATAATTTATGTCAATTATTTTAGCTACTTAATAAATATAAGTAGATTAAATAGTAAACATTAATTTCTGTGACGTAACATTTCAATATGTGCCATAATTTGAATTCTATTGTGTATATCACCAAGATATGATGAATTAAAACATTGATATCTTTACTATTTTTATTTATTTATAGGGTGGTTATTTCGTAGATAGTTTGGCTGAAGGAATTGTTCATGTTTTAAAAGCATTACTTGGTGATCCATTATCACCTATACGACTAATCCAACCACCATGTTCAAGGTTACAATGATTTATTCTTAATGTTTACAATGATGACAAATTGATTGATTGTTAAAATTTACTGAAATGTATAAGAGAATCTAATTGATTATTTATTTATTCACCTAATTTCTAAATCTTATTTGAATATATTCTATACAACAGAACTAAGAATGGAAATCCAACATCCATGTTTCGTCCTAGTTGGGACTCATCAGCTGGATGTACCTGCATCTTAGATTTGATGATCACTCTAGGACATGAACCTAGTACCATTCGCTTGAAACTCCATCGCGTTATCCATTTAGCTATTGATTGCTGATAGCAACTTCTGAAAGTGGCAGATACTTAAATCTTTCCATTGATGAAGTTACTACTCATAATATATTAATAGTATATTTTAATCTAGTGTAAATTATTCGGAACTTAAATCATAATTGTACATATTTGAATATGGAACAATTCAAATTTCTTATTGTCTTGAAAGAACCTGGTAACCAAGACATTTGTGTAACATTTTTTTCTTGATGAAATCTATTCATTTTCAAGTAATCAGAAGACTTGGATTTGTTAAAGTTTGCAGAGAAGACTTTTACTAGTGGAGTCCGATCGAGTCTGTTGTGAGATAGTAACTCATTGATGAAAATGGTAAACAGCGGTGCAGTTTCGTAGATTGGTTGAAGTTAGACATTAACACTGTTTGATGCTAGCAATTTCAGTGGTCTAGAGGTTAAGTGTTCACGCGCGAGACAGATAGGTCCTGAGTTCGACTCCCTCGGGCGGGATCGTGGATGCACATGGCTGTGGAGTCCCATACTAGGATTGAACGACTGTCCAGTGATCCCAGGTTTCTATGGTGATCTAGCCTCAATTGACTCATGAATTTAACTATTTGATTGTATTTCATATAAATTATTAATTCTGATTCAATAATCATCATGGTTGAAAATGTTTTAGTGTGTTCCAATGTAGAAGACGATGTTTCATCATTACATGTACTTTTTTTGTTGGAATTGTAAATAACCTATTCTTAGTAATTCTCATTTGTCTAAGTTTATAAATGGTTAGACGGATCCCAATGTAACAGTCAATACTACGGACCCCAGGCCTCTTGGAACATCAATTGTCTCAAGATTGTAGAGTTGATTGTTGGTAGGTGTCAGATTAAATAAAATCTGCGTCCAGTGTTTATTGCCAACTTCTTCTAATGTTGTGTTACAGATATCAAATCATATAAACTAGTTACCGAGATGTAATTTAATCGATACAGTTCGCCTACGACTACAGTCAAGATCAAACATGACAATATCTAAGACTCAATCTATAAGACTTGAAAGCCCGTCTCACGCTTATAAAAGAAGAGATAATCTTAGATTATTCCATATCAGCTAAATTTAGTCCCTAGAACCATCAACTATCAACAGTGTTATATAATATGGTATTTCGTTTATTTATTTCCCTTATTTTTCTATTTAGTGTTAAAGAGACTATTGAATCATGTATAACTGTGCTAAGTCCATATTGGAAAAGTCTTCTGGATAGTTCTCAACCTGTACAAATTGAGAGTTCGGAACATTTAACAACAATAACCTGGTAAGTATGAATTTTAGAATGTTCGTTCTGTAATTTATTTTATTCAAAATATTATAGTACTATTTTAAAATCAGTAGTCACTCAGAAATAAGTGATTTTTTGATTCGCATTTAAAGTAGGTGGATTGATGAGACTATCATTGATGAACGACTTTTGAGCAAAGTTAGACTGACTTTGAGGGTGTCCACCTAATAACTAAAACCAAATAAGGGTTATACACTTGTGTGAGGAATTAGAGTTATGATTTACAGTTGATGGTTAGGGGTTAGGAATTAGATTTGAAGGTTGTCCGCATGTGGACAACTGCGGACACACATTCGACCGAAAAAATGTGGAGATTTTGGATAGAGGCAATTCCAAAAATACCAGAGAATTTTTAGAAGCTTGACACTCAGCTCAATCAACAATAAACAGGCACATTGAAATAGATCAACCAATCAGGAAAATTATGCACAAACTTAGGAACAAAAATTCAAACCAATGGGAGATATAACTAAAACAAACAAGGAAACAATGATAGGTTTAGAGGTCAACAAGAACCAATCAACATCGAGGTGTACAGGACAAGCTGTGAACCACGTATGGAGAAGTCCGAACACTTAACTTATACTTGAAGTTTTTGCTGACGATGTCGTTCAGAAGAACGATTAGACCATCCAGCTCAGGGAACAAAACTCCATCAAAATCATCCACCTGAAGTACAAATCTTCTTTACCATCACAAGAAGTTATTTGATAACGGTAATAAAATCTTCAGTACCTTAGTCTTCTCTGACGATTCCGTTAATGATTTGGTCAGGTAGAGGGTAAATATAACTTTAAAATATGAGTATTGTTGGACAATATAAACTGTTCTATTACAAAGAAATATCATTTAAATGGTTACATATGACATAAACTACTGATTATATATAAGTAGTGTTATGCGAAAATCGAAAACTAAAAGATGAATATCTGCTATGATCAAAATATTTTTTCATTATACTATTCCTTGAAAACAATCTACTAACCTGTCAAATATTCTTTAGTTGAAATTCAATTAAAGTATATTAAGTTTTTGATTGAGATCATGAACCGATTGATGTTAGACCACCTTTCGAAACCTGGAAGCATTGGACGGCCGTTTCGTCCTATTGTGGGACTCCTCAGCAGTGCGCATCCATGATCCCGCCCACGGGATTCGGACCCAGAGCCTCCGGCCTCACACGCGAACGCCTAACCTACTGAACCACTGAGCTGGCATCCAATGGTGATAGTGTCTAACATCAACCAATCCACGGAATGGCGCGACCATCTTCCATTGTACTGAGGTAGATACCTGTTTCTACCCGACATGGACGAAACGGCCGTCCAGTGCTTCCAGGTTTCCAAAGGTGATCTAACATCAATCGGTTCATGATCTCAGTCAAAAACTTAATAATCTCCACAAGCCCTATACTAGTAAAGTATATTAATTGGTTGGAAACAGTAAACATAATACTTTGAACCAAGATGTTATGTTAGTCGTTAGCTTCCAAGAAGATCTGTCATGATTTTATGAAGGAACTGATAGTCCCTTGAGAATTCTTATTCGAATCATACGGTGTCACAGTCTTTGACATCACAAATGAACTGTTTAGAACATGAATAATTGTTATAACTTGTGAATTCGTGCCCCTTATCAATGTACAACGTAATGATACCGCCAATTAGAAAACAGTGACTTATCAACAGGATCAATGACGCATAAATCCATACGAGTGGTCTAGAGTTGTCTTTCTGTCTAATCCTACCTGTTAAGTCCAGAACACCAATCTCAGCCTATGAGTTATGAATCATTTATTTCAAACCTACTGAGTCTATATACCAACCAGACAGACCACATCGTACCATGAAATAGATAATAACATTTTTACGGGATCAAGTCAAAACTGGTTATGAATGTGATAGACTGTAATGAATAGACTGGGTATAACTCAAGAGTGTTAAATCGTATGATAATAGTCTATAGGTCAAATGAAAGCTTATAATAAGAGGGACATGAATGTACTCAGTAGGTAAGTGGATAACACGATGGTGTTTGAAGCGAACGGTACTGGGTTTGAGTTCAAGAGTGAAAATTAACTCTGAGATACAGATATATCCAGCTGATGAGTCCTAAATAGGACGAGACGCGCGTCAAACTGGATTGCACTGCTAGCCACTATCCATTTTTGTTTATTAAATATTCTCTTTGATAATATTTAGGGCAAGGCATATACACTTAATCATTCGTGTAATATATATGTATAATATTGAGATGATGGGGAAGGTTTGTAGCTCAACTTGATGATTTTGATGAAGTTTTGTTCTTTGAGCTGGATGGTTGATCCCACTATTGATATAATACTATGATAAAGCTATCTATAATTTAACTATCCGTAAGAGCCTTCTGTGGGAGATGACGAACCAACTTTCATCATTAAACTACATCACGAATCAAGCGCTAACTTGGAATCTTGAATGGAAACAGAAATGAGGAAGATCAAAGAACACACTGCACCGGTAATCGCAAGCAGACATGGGAAAGATTTTCCAGGACACCTTTCGACTATATATACATATATTTCATCAATAAATTCACTTTCTCTCTCTCTCTCTCTTTCTCGAACATATAGGCCAATAGTAAAGGTGATAACATGGCCTGAAACTAATCCTCAATTACCCAGAGTACTAACGAATCATATTCAACACTTAATAAATAATCATTTTCCAGCACCATTAACAATATCGAATGAAATGATTCAACAGACGACTTTGATTTTATTGTTAACATCACAGGCATCAGAGCTATTTGATTTACAATATGATTCAACTAATGTTAATGAAAGAAGAAGCGGAAGAAGAAAACAACGGAAAGTTATGCTAGAAAGGTTAGTTTGTACAAAATGTACTATATTTCTGTTATTAACTTTCTAGTAATTTCAAGTTCAGCAAATCATCGTGAGTCAACGGCTGGTGGTAGTTCAGTATTGGGAATTGGTTTGGGTTGAAAATGTAAGTTGTTGTATGCTAACTTAGTGCTTGCCACATGACCTGAAGGTCCTGAGTTCAATCCATAACTTGATCATGAATATGAGCTGATGAGAAATCCTATAATCAGACGAAACAGTTCTCTAATGCTTTCTGACCTTCAATGATCGTTTAACCTAGACCAGTTTGTGAAGTTAACCATAAATTGAATAATATCCACAAGACTCCTATACTAACACACAAAACACACTAGACTTGTGTGTTCTGTCCTTAGTCCCTACTGATTGTTATCCAGAGAGCTATAATGTGATCACCAGTTTAAGCAGACCATTTAGAACTGAATTCTAGAGCATTAGGCCACACAGCGAGTATATTACCTTCAGAAAAGTAAGTTACTCTTTAACAGCCATTAGTAATCTGTTGGAGTAAGGAAAATATTATGAACGATAGTGGATGATGGTTTGAGTAATATCATGGAATTTCATTACAAAAGGCTATGAATGGTATTAAGAGACCTATTATAAGAAACTAAAACATAATAAATCCATTGAATGACCGGATTTCGACTCAACGATTTCATGTATTCTAATCAATATCAGAAGGGGTTTTGTAGATATTATGGCAATTTTAATAGTTGAGATCATGAGTCAATTGAAGATAGACCACCATGGAAAACGTGGAAGCACTGGATAGTCATTTCGTCCTAGTATGAGACTCCTCAGCAATGCGCGTCCACGATCCTACTGGCGGGAGGAGTCCCACAATAGAACGAAACAGCCATCCAGTACTTCCAGTTTTTCAATGGTCGTCTAACATCAATCCGTCTATGATCTCAATCCAAAAAACTTAATAATCTCCACAAGCCTATATTGAACATTTAATGTTAGAATTATCTTAACTCTTTACATATACTTACTTGTATGTTTCATGAATCATTTTGGGTTCATTTATTTTAGCTTAATGTATAAATTAAATGATCAACTTCATATACATCTATACAATCAATATGATGTACCAATCAAATTTTATTCCAATTCAGTAAGTAACAATTACATAAGTAGTATATCTTTTTATGTATAATAATTTTGATGTTATATATATGATTGTTATGTAATGAATGAGAATACAAGTGGGGAGACAATCGAATGTCATTGAATACAGAATCTCTTAGTCAAATCTAAGAACAAGACAGTCAATACTTCATTTGCAATATGTCAGTTAATCGTCTCAAACTTTATTGTTCTTTCATTTCCACATCAATCATTCTCTGTTCTCGTTCTCTTTTCATCAATATGTTTAACCTCCTACCGATAGACATTTCATTTTCGATTGATACTACATACTACTTATATCTGTCGATATCAGTAGTATATACCACAAAAGTAAGAGTGGATTTTCTGAAGAGTTTTGAATCTTAGGTAATTTTTTATCAAGAACTAAATTTACAAATGAGAACTACCACACTTCAGCTGAACTAAATGTTCTGCATTATGTTTATGACTTACTAAACAGTCCTAAACTAGTGTAGGGTTAGTAAAATGTCACTGAGCCATAGTCAAATCATCCTGCAGTTGAGTCACTGAATATCGAACAGATCATCGATCCTCGTCAAGGTCAAGGAAAACAAACGCGCATCAGTTAATTGTACTCCATGAACCGGCTCATGAAGTGGGGGTCTTACTTTCGCTTGTATCTACTTTAACTAATATATTTCTGTAATAACATCCTTTGTGTTATACGGTCTTCAAAGCATTCATAGTACTTTGATACATGGAATGGGTAATTCACGTTGGATGCTGATCGCAAGGTGTGACTTCTAAGTTATCTGTTTTGTTACACTATCCCCATCTAACTCGAGTAGGCCTCCAATCATTCAGCACAGATCATCTACCTTGGTGAACTACATTCGGATTAATTAAGATAGTTCATATTATTCTAGTGAAGGAGAACACAGGTGAACAAAACCGATTATATTTAGCACAAAATCACAAAGTTGCTTTATAAATCATACACCAGTATTTCATTTGCAAAACGTTCATTAATTGTCTCACACTTCATTGTTCTTATATTTTCATCATACCAATTTCTTTTAGTTCCCATTCTTTCCTCCTCGATCTTTTCAACCTTTTGTTGTCACACATTCTTATTCCTGACTAGCGTTATATGCTACTTTTATCAACATAAGAAGCACACACCACATTAAGTCCTTTTTAATAATACTTCATTTAGTAGTTGGATTTATGAGTTAATTGAAGCTAGACCACTATGGAAAACCTGGAAACATTGGACGGTCGTTTCGTCCTAATACTTGATTTGTTGACATATTGTAATGAGAATCATCATCATCATCATCATCGTCATTTTTTCATTTTTCTTTCCTAGAAATCAGCTACGAAATTTCGGTCTACACAATCATCTTCATCAACTTCATCATTTCCTACTAATTCAACCAACAATCATGTTTATGATGTTCATAATATGAATGATAATATCAATTCAATAGATCCATTATGTTTTACACAATCTTTACCTGGAATTAGTTCATCTTCATATAAACCCTATAGTTATGAAGGATTCATTCAACATCATAGACAAATGGAAAATTTACTAATGAATAAACGACAAGGGAACTTATCAGAAAATTTTCAAACTGCTATCATTCATGCATTAAGTTTAATTTTAATGGGACAGGTATGTTTTTATGTATGATGACTGTTTACAGTATGCATGGTGTTTTTTGTGGTTAATTTTAGGTTTGAGAAGGACGTCGGTAGGGTTTGTAGATCACTAACATAGATGATCTATACTGAATGATTGGAGGCCTACTCGAGTTGGACGGGAATGATGTAACGAACCAGCTAACTTCGAAGTTACACCTCGCGATCAGCGTCTATCGTGAATTACCCATTCGACGTATTAAAGTACTATGGCTGCTTTGAAGAGCATTATTATGGAAATATATCGGTAAGAATGAGTACAGAGAAGATAGAGAGACCACCATCGCATGCGCGAGTCCATGGTATACGATTAACTGATGCGCGTTTGTTGTCCTTGACGTTGACAGAGATTAATGATCTGTTCGATATTCAGCGACCCAACTACCGAATGATTTGTCTATAGCTTAGTGACATTTCACTGCCCCCACAGGTTCGTCTTCAGAAATCATTGGTAAATACCTGCAACTAAGCCGATAGATACCCATTTACCAAGGATATACAGACTAGCGAACGTGCACAAACTGGATATCCTGTTGAGACCAATTCTGGACATATACAATTCTCCTTATCATATTGTAGCGAAGTGGTTAGTAACCATGTCAAAACCACTCCCCACACATCTAGTGAGGCATATTATTCAAACAAGACCAGGAACATAAACAATAAGGGTAGGGCAGTGATGTCGTTAAACGTAACATCATTGTTTGTAATTGTCCCGTTCAAAGGGATTATAGAATGAGTATATATATATATATATATATATATATATATATATATATATATATATATATATATATATATATACGAACAACTTAGAGAACAGGAAATAGAGACTACAATCGTTGTGGACATCACTGAGGAATTATTACTAGAATGAATTCTGAACGTATATTTCACATTCAATTGTAAAATCTATAGACAAATATATGATGTCGCCATGGATTCACACTAGGTTCCATATTGGCAGACATTTTTCTCACTAAACTAGAATAATGTGTGTTGGCACAGCATACTGCCGATATATGGACGATAATTTCATCCCCTGTAATGACCAAAATGACCGACTAGAAACATTCAAGTGGTTAAATGAAGTTCATTCATATATTAAATTCACATATGAAGAAGAAGAAAACAGAGGTAAAGCAGCCTTTTTAAATGTTCTACTTACAAGGAGAGTAGATGAATCACTAAGAAGAAACTTAAATCACAAAACTATTTGGACATGCCAATATACAAAATTTCTTAGTTTTTATACTCTGCAACACATATAAAGCGACTTGGTTAAGACACTTCATCATAGAATCAAGGCCAAATGCTCCCCAGATATGGTTGAAGGAGAAACAAAAAAATATTACTACTAATACTAATGCTCAGTGATTATTAAGTTATCAGTAGTATCCTATTCATAGCTTTTTTTATGTAGCAAATAGTTATTATCATCAAACAACGGTTACATTTAATGATTTTGAAGAGAAACGTTTTTTAGAAAACACAATCGACCTACTTATATATAGTCAGTAGTATATTTTTATTCAACAAAATAATTTACTGAAATTTGTTTTTTTTCTTTGAATTTTTAGCTTCATAGACTTTATTTTGTGAATCATTCATTCAACTTAGTAGAATTAATTGAGACTATATCAAATATACCTATGGAATTATTGGTTAATTATCGTAAAAGAATATTTAAACCAAAAAATTTTCGAAAGAATACAAATAATGATAATACAATAATTGAATTTATGAGAAGCAGTTCATTCATAAATAATAATAACACTTTTAATGATGATAAAATTTTGGAAAAGTTAACACATGTTTACTCTTATCCAAATAGATCAAGTTCATTTCATATGTCTTCAGGATCAATCTCTTCAACGTCTTTATTTCATAGTAGATCTCAAATTGTAAGTTGATTCTCAATATGATCAATTGATTGGTATAAAACTTTTGATGTGATTACTTTAAATTACGTTCCTATGAATATATGAACATTACAACACTGTAGTTTACAATTTTCCGGTTATATTGTTTGATTATATCTAGAAGACAATGATGAAGATCTGATGGTATATGTTTAATATAAACGGAGTTATTCATGTAGTTTTTTGTGGCCCGTGAATCTGACTCCTATTTAGAGCGTACGAATGTTTGCTATCGCTGATTCTCGTATATCATCGTCGACTTAAATCACGTTAGTCAATAACGGAATTTAGATAAGTCAAATAACGAGAATGGGATTTTGAATACATATATTTTGTATGTAAAGTGAATGTAATAGAACAGAGCAAAATGATACGCAGGGAAGATGGCTGGGAAACCAACTCCATTTTAGTCAGCCGTTACTCAATATTTATAGTCAGACAAAATAAAGCTACAGACATGTGAATAATGGGATAAGAAGGGCACACACATATACGCTCATATAAAAACAGTGAAGAGTGATAAGCGAATAAATAACAAGGTCAAAGTATGGCTCGAGTAGAATGAATAAAATGGGATGTCCGGAAGCTAGAATAAGGTATATGGGCTTGCCATAATAACTGACACTACAAGTTCATTCACTTAAAGTAATGCGTGTAGAAAAAAAAACAACAAGAGCTTATTCATAGCCAAAGTAAACAGATAAGATAATCTGTGGAAAATCGTTATATACAGTAGTAAAACTAAAATGTGCATAATGAATGGATGGAGATAAGGACATTAGAAATCCATCAAAATTATATCTGAATATATCGATTTTCATATGGTTTATCTCAACTCCTCATTGGTTATATTTGGATAAATTGACTGGACTAGCACTTAAATTAATCAATAAATTAACGTATTTATTTGGACACATAAATATTGATAAAAAAAGGGGCACGGAATACATATGCGCCATACAAGTCACATGATTTGTGTATAGGCTATGATAGTGCACGATGTGCCTAAACTGAAGCAGATAGTTTTCTTTGGGGGCTATACACGAAACCTTCGACGTAAAAGTTTCATACACAAGTCAGAGGAGAAACGTCAAGAGATGCAGTCCCATGATAGTTGGTGACCAATAATTGGTTCATACTTTATATATTGCTTCAGGATCCTGAAACACGTATTCACTATTAGTTTGAAATAGGGGTCTTCGCAAGTCTCCTAGATGGACTCTCCGTATCCACCAAACCAAGGGCATCTAAATGTATATTATAAAAAATCTAGATTTTTTCCATACATAAAAGAACCTTTGTAGTAAAGTGTTTTCTTTCATATTTGGCACCTTTTCTCTCATGTTTAAGTCACTGTGTAGATCTAGTCTGAGAAGTCACTTAAAAAGGCTTAGTCTGGGCATTCAATTAATACGACTTATCACTAATTCAATATATAACATTATCAATGAATTACAATTACTTAAATAGATTTGTATTATCATTTTATAGACCAAGAATGAGACGTTTTACAATAGACCATGTCGTATATTAGTACTGGATTTAAATGGAATACAACAAAGAGACAGTAAACAATTGAATCAATTCCAATGTTCAACGAAACAAATGAATGGGAATATGAAATGTCAGTAAGTAAATCATCATCATCCTCATAATAAAAATAATTTGATATACAATGAATAAGACATAAACAGAAGAGAATATATTGATAGTATAGAATAATAAATTAGGGAAAAGTAATAAAGAAAAAGGAAAACAAAAGATAAAATAAAAACTAGAGAAAAATAATCAGTAAGAAAAGAATCGAAAAAAAGAAAAATCCGAAATCATACAAGAAAGAAGAAAAAACAGAAAACAATTCAAAAGAAATGCAAAAAAGAAAAAAGAAAAAAGAAATAAAAAACCAAGAAAAACGAAAAATTATGTAAAATAAATGCAAAACAATGACACAAAAAACAAGTAAAGACAAAACAAAAAAATTGGTAAAGAAAGGAAAGTATAAAAACAGCATAATAAAAATGTGTGTGTGATACAGCACAGACGAGGTTGATTGTGTCCTCGATAGACTGATGTGAGGCGTGTGTTTGTGTGAGTGAGTGAGTGGGTGAATGTGGAGTGATTATCGATCTGGTTGGTTGAGTTGGAGGGAGTGGATAGTTGGTTGAACAGGAGTGTAATGTGTATGATAGGTGATGTGGTTTCGACTGGTGCTGTTGCCCAAAATGTGCATGTGATTGTGTGTGTGTGTGTGTGTGAACAATTGTGTTGAAGATTGTGAGTGTTGATGGAGGAGTTGGGAGTGAGTGAATGGCTGAGTGTGGATGTGCTGTGATGTGACGATCTGTGTTGGTTGTAATGTGATCGGTGGTGTTGGTGTTTAGTTGTATGGATGTGGGTGTATTGATGATGTGTTTTCTATTTTGCAGGTTACGTGTGTAGGAGTGTTGAATGTGGGATGAGATGGTTGATTGTGTTGTATAATTGTGAGTATGTGTGTTGTTTGTGGTGTTGGTGTTTGTGGTGGTATTGAAGTGTGAAGCGATGTGATAGTGTGCGAGCGTACGTCCGGCGATAGCTCAGTTGGTAGAGCGGAGGACTGTAGATTGGTGCAGTGATCCTTAGGTCGGTGGTTCGAATCCGCCTCGCCGGAGATGGTGGGCTTTTGGTCGGACATCACTCGATGCATCACACTGACCAGTCAGTCACGAGCCACACTGTGTCGTTGGTCGCCTCACCACAGTGAGTCGAATCGCCAGCGACCAGCACATCGCCAACGTGTCCGAGCGTGCACTCACCACCCACTCATGGTGTGCGAGGATGAGGCAGCCAACTGGTCGTCTGCGTCGTTTGGACAACCAGTACCCTGCCTAATCATCGCATCACACTCCACTATTGCCCACCCGTTATGTCGCATCGCACCGATCGTCCACTACACGTCCCGTGCCTTCATCCACTAGACCGAGTCCGGTTCAACATCCTTGAGGTGGTCAGACGAACACACACCGAGTGATCCATTGAATATCCTAACGAGTGACTGAGTGACTGACTGAGTGACTGAGTGAGCGACTGATTGAATGCATGATAGCGTGAAGTGGTGAATGATTGATTAAGAGTGCGATACACCACTGATTGACTCGGTGTTCGCTTGTAAAACACTGAGACTGTGTACAGCAGTGATGGTGAACTGATTCTGACAATGAATACTTGTTTGTGCGTGTGTCTATGATGGTCAGTGTGGATATGTTCTGACGATGATCATTCGCATGAGTGTAGTCGTTGAAGAGAGATTGGTGTGGGACAAATGGTTGTAGTGTAGTATGAGTGGAGTTGCTTCTGTATGGAGTAGATGTGATTCAGTATGTGGCATAGTTGTGTATGATAGTTTTGAGTGTGTGAGTGAATATATCTATGTATGTATGTGTTTGTGTGTGTCTATGTATGTATGTATGTATGTATGTATGTACGTATGTGTGTGTGTGTGTTTGTTTGTGTGTTCGTGGATTGGTGAATGATGGAATTGAATTTGGATTGCGTTGATGGTGGACACAGTTGTGTTGGTTGTTCGTGTTGAGTGATGTGTGTACCGATATGATGATTTGTAAGGTGGTGTGAATGAATGGTGTACATGTGGATGTATAGAGTGAATGTGTATGTTCGGGTGATTAGGGAGATGTGTATGATGAAGTGTAGTTTGGATGAGTGTGTGTGTGTGTGTGATGCAGCACAGACGAGGTTGATTGTGTCCTCGATAGACTGATGTGAGGCGTGTGTTTGTGTGAGTGAGTGAGTGAGTGAGTGAGTGAGTGAGTGGGTGAATGTGGAGTGATGATCGATCTGGTTGGTTGAGTTGGAGGGAGTGGATAGTTGGTTGAACAGGAGTGTAATGTGTATGATAGGTGATGTGGTTTCGACTGGTGCTGTTGCCCAAAATGTGCATGTGATTGTGTGTGTGTGTGTGTGTGAACAATTGTGTTGAAGATTGTGAGTGTTGATGGAGGAGTTGGGAGTGAGTGAATGGCTGAGTGTGGATGTGCTGTGATGTGACGATCTGTGTTGGTTGTAATGTGATCGGTGGTGTTGGTGTTTAGTTGTATGGATTTGGGTGTATTGGTGATGTGTTTTCTATTTTGCAGGTTACGTGTGTAGGAGTGTTGAATGTGGGATGAGATGGTTGATTGTGTTGTATAATTGTGAGTATGTGTGTTGTTTGTGGTGTTGGTGTTTGTGGTGGTATTGAAGTGTGAAGCGATGTGATAGTGTGCGAGCGTACGTCCGGCGATAGCTCAGTTGGTAGAGCGGAGGACTGTAGATTGGTGCAGTGATCCTTAGGTCGGTGGTTCGAATCCGCCTCGCCGGAGATGGTGGGCTTTTGGTCGGACATCACTCGATGCATCACACTGACCAGTCAGTCACGAGCCACACTGTGTCGTTGGTCGCCTCACCACAGTGAGTCGAATCGCCAGCGACCAGCACATCGCCAACGTGTCCGAGCGTGCACTCACCACCCACTCATGGTGTGCGAGGATGAGGCAGCCAACTGGTCGTCTGCGTCGTTTGGACAACCAGTACCCTGCCTAATCATCGCATCACACTCCACTATTGCCCACCCGTTATGTCGCATCGCACCGATCGTCCACTACACGTCCCGTGCCTTCATCCACTAGACCGAGTCCGGTTCAACATCCTTGAGGTGGTCAGACGAACACACACCGAGTGATCCATTGAATATCCTAACGAGTGACTGAGTGACTGACTGAGTGACTGAGTGAGCGACTGATTGAATGCATGATAGCGTGAAGTGGTGAATGATTGATTAAGAGTGCGATACACCACTGATTGACTCGGTGTTCGCTTGTAAAACACTGAGACTGTGTACAGCAGTGATGGTGAACTGATTCTGACAATGAATACTTGTTTGTGCGTGTGTCTATGATGGTCAGTGTGGATATGTTCTGACGATGATCATTCGCATGAGTGTAGTCGTTGAAGAGAGATTGGTGTGGGACAAATGGTTGTAGTGTAGTATGAGTGGAGTTGCTTCTGTATGGAGTAGATGTGATTCAGTATGTGGCATAGTTGTGTATGATAGTTTTGAGTGTGTGAGTGAATATATCTATGTATGTATGTGTTTGTGTGTGTCTATGTATGTATGTATGTATGTATGTACGTATGTGTGTGTGTGTTTGTTTGTGTGTTCGTGGATTGGTGAATGATGGAATTGAATTTGGATTGCGTTGATGGTGGACACAGTTGTGTTGGTTGTTCGTGTTGAGTGATGTGTGTACCGATATGATGATTTGTAAGGTGGTGTGAATGAATGGTGTACATGTGGATGTATAGAGTGAATGTGTATGTTCGGGTGATTAGGGAGATGTGTATGATGAAGTGTAGTTTGGATGAGTGTGTGTGTGTGTGTGATGCAGCACAGACGAGGTTGATTGTGTCCTCGATAGACTGATGTGAGGCGTGTGTTTGTGTGAGTGAGTGAGTGAGTGAGTGAGTGGGTGAATGTGGAGTGATGATCGATCTGGTTGGTTGAGTTGGAGGGAGTGGATAGTTGGTTGAACAGGAGTGTAATGTGTATGATAGGTGATGTGGTTTCGACTGGTGCTGTTGCCCAAAATGTGCATGTGATTGTGTGTGTGTGTGTGTGTGGAACAATTGTGTTGAAGATTGTGAGTGTTGATGGAGGAGTTGGGAGTGAGTGAATGGCTGAGTGTGGATGTGCTGTGATGTGACGATCTGTGTTGGTTGTAATGTGATCGGTGGTGTTGGTGTTTAGTTGTATGAATTTGGGTGTATTGGTGATGTGTTTTCTATTTTGCAGGTTACGTGTGTAGGAGTGTTGAATGTGGGATGAGATGGTTGATTGTGTTGTATAATTGTGAGTATGTGTGTTGTTTGTGGTGTTGGTGTTTGTGGTGGTATTGAAGTGTGAAGCGATGTGATAGTGTGCGAGCGTACGTCCGGCGATAGCTCAGTTGGTAGAGCGGAGGACTGTAGATTGGTGCAGTGATCCTTAGGTCGGTGGTTCGAATCCGCCTCGCCGGAGATGGTGGGCTTTTGGTCGGACATCACTCGATGCATCACACTGACCAGTCAGTCACGAGCCACACTGTGTCGTTGGTCGCCTCACCACAGTGAGTCGAATCGCCAGCGACCAGCACATCGCCAACGTGTCCGAGCGTGCACTCACCACCCACTCATGGTGTGCGAGGATGAGGCAGCCAACTGGTCGTCTGCGTCGTTTGGACAACCAGTACCCTGCCTAATCATCGCATCACACTCCACTATTGCCCACCCGTTATGTCGCATCGCACCGATCGTCCACTACACGTCCCGTGCCTTCATCCACTAGACCGAGTCCGGTTCAACATCCTTGAGGTGGTCAGACGAACACACACCGAGTGATCCATTGAATATCCTAACGAGTGACTGAGTGACTGACTGAGTGACTGAGTGAGCGACTGATTGAATGCATGATAGCGTGAAGTGGTGAATGATTGATTAAGAGTGCGATACACCACTGATTGACTCGGTGTTCGCTTGTAAAACACTGAGACTGTGTACAGCAGTGATGGTGAACTGATTCTGACAATGAATACTTGTTTGTGCGTGTGTCTATGAT